AGAAAACCTAAACAATTGAAGAGAATAATAATCTTTTTAAAGAGCTATAAGATTTGGCAGCACATAGCAATGATGTACTTATTTTATGAATTAGATGAATAATTAATGGTTCCATTTGAATTGGACAAAGAATCAGAATTAAAAGAATTATTGACAAGAAGGAATTAGTTTACTTGTAATTTTCTTATTAGGGGTGTGTATTTTAGATTATTTTGTGTACATAGTAGTGTGTAAGTGTACGTAGTACATTTAGATAGATAGTAATCAAAATGCTAGGTATACATTTCAGTCATGTTCTTTCCAAGAAATGATTTATATATTTAATACATTGTTCAGATTTTGCAGTGGCCATCATATAATTGTGATAGTATATAATACGTCAGGCAAAATTATTTGATGCAGAAACTCTGAAATCAGCAGAAACAATTGTCTTGAGTTCCTATTTATATATGGAAGTTTTTTCCCTTATTTTGTTAAACTGTCACAAAAATGACACACTTAGGCAGCTTTTCTTAATTATAACCAATAAAACTTTACAGGTTGTTGGATCTCTAAATAGCTTCTCTAAGCCTTTGTTGTTATGGCAAAAATATTTATAATAATATTACGTCCCTTGGGATTGTTGTGGTGCTTAATCAAGATAATCAATTATAAAGTTGGGCCCACTGCTTGTCCTAAATGTTTAATTAAACAAATGTTTAGTATATGGTAGTGATTATCATTCAGTTTTGACATACATTTTTAAATATTAAATTGGTTTTTTTTGTATATGAGATTGTTATGGATTTTAGACAAATGAACTCAAACAGATCAGTATGACAAATTTAAAATCAGCACAGCAGCTAACTCATTCTTCGCTCTTTTTCCCATTTTTCATAGACGGGAAGGATTCTTATTTTTTTCAGTTCTTAAACTCTTTCTCAACTTAGAATGAATTAGTCCAAAAGTTTGAGAAATGACTGCTCTCAGGGACAAGATGGGTCTGGTCCAATTAAAGTTCATCAGCATGCCAAGCAAACCCAACTAGATGAAGTTGAATACACAAGAGAAAGAATAAAATCCTGCATTTCAGGTTATAAAAGTGGCTGGGTATGTTTATTGGGTAAGCCCGAACTTGGTGGTGGTTTGAGTGAAAAATCTGGGGGGATAGTTAATTATAAGTTCACTATTAGCCACTATTTGATATGCCCATCTCTTTATAAAAGGGAGGAAGAGAAGTATTTCATTCACAGCTATTGGATTACTTCTGGGCTCTAAAATTTAAGAAAATGAGTGAGAAAACCAGGATAGGCCCTTAAGACACACAGGAAGAAGAGAAGACTGAGGGGACTCTGGGGGCCTTGACCCAGTCAAGAAGCTATGGCATAGAAGGTGAAGGGTACCTGATACTCTCACTCAGACCCTTAGTTCTGAAACTCTTCCTGGAGGTACAAGAAAATAATAGAAGAAGTATAAAATGGACTGTTTTTCATTTGTTTCATAAAGTGATGGATATGATTCCTTTCAAAGCCCCAGTATATTGAAATGTTTTAATTAAAACACTTTAATGAGCACTTGAAATATGTACAAGATTTCTCTAAATATTTTTATTCATCTTAAATCTAGAGGCTGCTGCTGCTTGCTAAGAAGAAAAGTTAGAAAGCATTAAGAAAAATCGGCATTTTAACAGCACTATAAAACCATAGGTAGTAACTCTTTAGCTAATTCCACATATATGTTTATTGATACAAGGTAATTGTATTATGATAGAAGTTTACTGTAAGCCTTAATCATTTTAATCTGAACACAGCAGTTTAACAGTTAAGTTACAAAATTCCGAAACTTAATGAAAAAACTTATGTTTGTTTATCACGTAATTTTGGCAAAGGTGACAGAGGCAGATGTTGAATAACACATGGCTTCTCTTCTGATATTAAAACCACAGGTTATATCTTTTGGTGTAAATATATAAAGTTTCTCTTTTAGTCCAGTGTTGATTTCCACCTCGTATAATCTATTAAAAACTCCTCCTACCACCTGTCTTGATTCCTTTGAAAACTGTGATTTATGTTTTTGTCCTATGTTAACCATGCCAAGCATTTACTTACATTATGGGAAACATCGTTTGATTCATATTAACAACTAATCTAATGCTGCACAAATCTAATGTTGTTTGTGGTTTTACAACATGATTCAGTAACCTCTTCTTAAATAGAAATGCACTTTATTTAATGCTCTAGTATATAGATTGACTTTTGTATGCCTTTTCCTCAAATACAGAAATTTCAGATTGAGTATATTCAGTTAAACAGTCATTCCTAGGGGGAATAATTTTTTAAAGTGGGCATCAAAGGAAGTAAAGAATTTGTCATTGGAAACTGGAGGAAGGAAAGTCCTTGTTATACAGCATCAGAAAGCTCAGCAGTGCCATGGCCTTTAGTCACACAGAAAGTAGGAAATGTTATCTGGTGAACTGCTTGACTTAAGCTAAGGAGGTTTCCAAGCAGTGTTGAAGGTTCCACGTGGTTTCTTCTTGCTTCTTATAGTAAAATGCAGGACTAGAGAGACTAATGAATGGCAGGCCTTTAAACAAAAAGAAACCAGGACCTAAGATTTGAAAATTCTCAGCTTCTGAAAAGGCAAAAAATACTAAAATTAAGAATTGACTTCTGGGGGAAGTTCAATTTGAGTTTTCTGTGCATCAGGTACCTCTCTTACCTGGTTGCAAAATTGTGTTTGTAGGTATGATTATTATTTGATATTAAGGTTGATTTGAACCAGGAGGTAGGGGTCAGTGCCTTTTATTTCCTCTTCAACCACAGATTGCAAGCTGTCGAGACTAAGTTGTTTCTAGAAGTTGTGGTGCAGACATGCCATAGAAAAGGAACCCTTTAAGGAACCTCAGTATACCCTGCTATGTATGGCCATGGGAGCTCTACCAAAACCAGAAGAGAAGAACCAGAGCTAAGTCTAGCAAGGCCAGGGCTTTCTGGCTCCCCTGTAAGGAAAACTCAGGGAACCAAAGATGATAGGCACCAACAGGCATCAGAAGTATTTCAAGAAGAGTAAGTAGGAAAATTGTAGGTGTCTGATCACTGGCTGCAGGAAGGACGTATTCTAAATACAAGGTATTTGAGTCTGAGACATCCTCCCAGCTTCATGTCTCAACCTTTTGGCATAAACTGTTCAACTGCTTTCATATGTAATATGAAGTTAGACATTTTGGCAGTAACTGAGGCTATTCATTGAGGGGGGGCCATGATAAATATATTGGCTTATCAAAAACCATTCTTGTTTTAGTTTATCCTCCTAAATACTAATTTTAAAAATACCCCAAATTATGAACCCATAAAGCAGAGTTTTCAGCATTGGCACTATTTACATTTGGACTGCCAAATCCTGGAGAGCTGTCTTGTGCAATATAGAATATTTAGCGTCTCTGGCCTCTAGATGCCAGTAGCGCCCCACCACTACCTCCCAGTTGTGATAATCCAGAATGTCTCCAGACAGTGCCCGATGTCCCCTGGGGGACAAAATCACCTCCTGTTGAGAACCACTGATATAAAGAAAAAAATGATCAGAAAAAGGGAAAACAATGGCAAGTAAAAATTTAGTTGTCCATAAGTCCATATTTTTTAACCTAAATAACTTGTGACCCATATTCTGCTTTGAAAAGATAATACCGGGTTTAAATAATTCAAAAAATTAAAGCAGGGTACCAGTTTGGGTTTAAATGATGAAATTTTTGTTTTGAGAAAAAGCATAATAGGTGTTCCTTCAACAATAAGTATCTTATGCATGTGAAATTAATGCCACATTTGACAGATGTAGACATCTGAAATAACTAGTGTATAGCCAGGGAAGAACCCAGATTTCTTAATGTCCAACCCAGGGAATATTTGTCTTATTTGAGCAGTTTACTTGATGTAAATCTAAGTAATCACCATTATCACCTGGGATCCTGTAAAAAATACATAGAACTTTGGCTCTCTCAGAATGTTTGAGGAGGAGGATAAGTTAGGTTTGGAAGCCACATGACCACATTGCCATTCATTCATTTATTTTAATTGTGTAAGTATATCATGTTTGGTGGAAAACTTTAGTAGGATTGAATAATCTTAAGTTTTGGGTCCTATTGCTAACTCTGTACCTTCACGTTCAAGCAAGAGAAGGAGGGGAGGGAGAGAGGAAAGAGGGCAGGAGAAAGGAGTAAAGAGACTGTGTGTGTGTGTGTGTGTGTGTGTGTGTGTGTGTGTGTCCAGTCTTCCAAGGGGTTGTGTGCAACAACTCTGTATACTCAACAGGGTAAAATGGCTACTTTTAATATCTAGATTATACTTTTGGTAATGTCTAAATACAAGATGGTAAAGTGACTCCTGCCTGTTCCCTTTATGACTCATGTCTTATTACCAAACATTTTCTGAAATGGTTTAAAAGAGCAGAGGCAAGAAGAAATACTGGATGTGTTTATAAAAAGCCCTGCACACCCCAAAAAGCAAAATGTTGATGAGACTGGAGTGGTTGCTGACTCCTCAGTCAGTCAAGAGACAGGAGAAAAGGTATTAAAGGTGTGTGGTGGTACTGGCTGTAGGGCTGAGCCTGGGTCGTATTTTAGAGTGAAACTGGCCCTCCTTGGTGTAGACAGTACTTCTCTAGATATTGAATACAATCTGTGGTTGTCAAATATAGAACATTCTAGTGATTAAACAAATTGAGGATTATTGTCACAACAGGTGGTGCATTTATTTATAAAAAGTCCTAATACATGGTAGGAATTTATTGCCTCATACTTTGTGTTTCCCCTATATCACAATTTTGTTTCAGTAATTTAAAATGAATCCAAGCTCTGCTGTACATTTTTCAATACAATTTTTAGAAATCTTTAAATAATTTTATTACCTATTCTGATGAATTCTACTTTTCTTCAGAATACATATTTGCTTAACATGGCTTCTTATAAGGTTTTCTAATGTTAATGCTAGTTTCTTACTATTGTCCATTTTATTTTTGGAATCTTACAGTGCCGAAACCAACCAGTGTTACAATTGAGGCCTACAACTTGAATGCCGTTCTGTTATGGGAATACCCACTCATGCCACTTGTGCCTGTGTTTACTGTACAGGTTAAGACCTACAGGTAAGTGTTACTCTTTTATCTTTTCTGTAACTCTGTGTTTCCTTCCATCATCTATCCTTCCCATGTGGCCACACGTCCTGAACTACCTGTAGACTTCCAGAAGTGCTAAGGGTGTGAATTAGTTCTTTTCACAATACTTCCTGCCTCTTTGTTCTTCCTGTCAAAATAAAAGTAAAGGAGTATCACTAACTTCCAGGATCTTAAGGCATGGCAAATAAAGCTTACAGTTCCATATTAAAAATAATGATGTCATCTTACTTCCTCTATAGTGTATGCATCATTAAATAGAAAGATAAAAACTTCAAAAATAAATTACTGCAGATACCAGGAGTCTGTATAAATGTGTTGGATTCTGTTATCAAGTAATGATTATCTATGTTAATGGAATCCAGAGCTGTTGAAAGAGTAGTTTTAAAATTTTCATGTGGAATGTGGTTTGTAGAGGTCTTATATTTTGAATTGAGCCTCTTTATTGTAAAGGAATTTGTAGTACTTCTAATCAAAGAGTAAGGGCATCCTATTTTCTAGCATCTCCATCCTATTCTTACTCAGCTCTACCAGCTCAACTCTGTACCTTCATGTTCTACTGTACATCAGAATAGGTAATAAATGAAAAGCTGTGAATGAAAAGCAAAGCACAGACAGAGATGTCTCAAGTTTATATATTAACAATAAGTTACCTGTTTTTCTTTTTTCCTCTTCATTTTAGAGATGCAGTATGGATTGATGCCTGCAATCAAACAATTCATCATTATTGTAATATCTCTTACATAATAAATGATCCATCAAGTCCTCTCTGGGCCAGAGTTAAAGCTAGGCTTGGACAAAAAGAATCAGCCTATGCTATGTCCAAAGAATTTATTTTGTGCCAACAAGGTGAGTAGAATGTATACACATTTAAATTTTAAATTTGAAAATACTTACAAGTACCTTCTGTATATATTTACTTGATTAGCAGTTGATAAAAATTATCACAATGTTCAAGAAACATTTGGGGGAACTTAGGGAGTCCGTATCCTGCCCTTCTTCCAAGCCCCACAAAGTGGGGCTGAGAGGCGCCGCTGCTTTGCCCCTTCTAAATCATTGCATATCTACTGCATACAAATACGGGTCCTTCTTGTCCAGCTGGACTCCGGACAGCCTTCCCTTCCTGGTCTTCTCTGTCATTCCTCTCTAAGTACATTCACTGAGGACTTGGAAGCTGCTTTCATTCCTCCTCTCCACCTTAAGTCCCCAAGGCCTCTGGAAATTTTATTTCCAACTAAATACCCTTAAAAAAATTATTAAACTACATTTGAAAATAAAAACCACCCTCGTGATTTTCAGCTCTGTGCTTCAGCCTCCCATTTCCCATAGTGTAGCTGATCTTTGTTTTCATGGCAGGCACCAGGATCTTCAGTGCCAGTCCCTCTCCTGACTGTCATCCTACCTTGTAGTTCTTGCACCCTCGCTCCTCGGTAGAAGAAGCCGTTAGTCATTTGACCCCTCTCTAGTCGTCTAGCCCTTCTCGCCTGCTAGCTCCACTCCCTTCGGCTTCTGTGCTTCATTACTTCAACGACTGCAGCGGTTCTGTTCCTGCTTTTCAGATTGTGGCTCCTTGGTGTCTTCCACAGGCCCTTCCTCTACTTGCCCTTGAATTAGTTGTATTCCCCAGAGTCCATGCCTTTGATCTGATAACTTTACCATTTACATGTCGAATTTTTCCCACACGCATTTACCAAGGGCATACTGTGTGCCAGAAAGTGTGCTGCACCCTTAGGCTGTATTGGTTCAGAAAAACAGACCTGCCTGGTACACAGTCAGTGTACCGTAAACATGTGAAGAATAGATCTGTGGTTTACCAACAAAGTCCCAAACATAAAACACACATACTAAATATTTGTCGAATGAATACCTAATTTTGACGTTACAATGAAATACTTACAAGTACCTTCTGTATATGTTTACTTTATTAGCAGTTGCTAAAATAAAAATTGGATGTATTTAGCAGCCTTATAGAGCCTTCATGCCAACCATCTATAGGTGTTGGAGATGCAAAGACTTTTTTGGTGAAGGTTGAGAGATAACTGAAATTTCTTTTCTAAAATGCTCTTTAGGAAACAAGTTTTTAAAATCTATAGAACCAAAGATAAAGGAAAAATAATAGAGCTTCTATTACATCATAGGTTTTACCAAGATTCATGACCCAACTATTTTTCTTCAGGACTAGGGGTGGACTTAAACTGTTGAAGAGGAGTCTAGATTAGATATGAGTATTTCTTGCTTGTGATATTAAACATTTCTTTACTAAGGACACTTAGGATGTCTTCTGGATCTTTGTGGAACAGTTTAAGTGTAGTCCTGCTTCGCAACATTGAAGGAGTAGGTGGGTAGATTGATTGGGCAGCTTATGTGATGCGCTGTGTCGGTCCCATGCCAGACCCAATGCCACTTCTCTTCTGTCCCTCTTTTCCCCCAGGGAGGATTGGACCACCGAAACTGGGTATCAGAAAGAAGCAAGACCAGATCATTATTGACATATTTCATCCTTTAGCTGTTATAAATGGAAAAGAACCAGAAGCCATATATGATGAAGAAAATAATTGTCACATGTTCATGTACAATGTATATGTGAGGATAAATGGAAGTGACGTATGTATTTCTATTTCTTTTTTTTTCAAAACAGAAATTTTTCTGTTGCTAGCCTAAGTTTATCTATCAAGTGTAATGAAAGTAGAGTGCTTATGAACATATTAAGGCAAGACTCATGAATCATAGGTTTTTGGATAGAAAAAAAAACATTTGAGTGCTGAAGGACTTGGTATTGAAGTTAATCACTAACCATGGTCAGGTGAATACACTGAAGTTTTCTCTTTGCCTCCTTAAATGGCATGTTCCTAATCTAGGATTTTAACCTGTATGTTGCCATTTCTCCACCGGTAAGATGAGAATAATTTTAATCTTTTCTTCCACATTGGTAGTGATGTAAAATAAAATCAAGCTATAATTGGAATCACTGTTTTTGAAAGAAAAAGCTAACCTACTACCATGGGGATATACTGGTGTGCAGACCACACTTTGATTAGAATTACTCTATTCCATCCATTTTCCACAGTGCTGCCATTCCTTAAATTTAACAAGATTTATCAAGTACATGCTCATGCCTTTTAGACACCAGGAGATCCAGTGAATGATATAGACAGAATCTCAACAATAAATGCTATGGAGAAAAATGAAGCAGGGAAGGAGGGGCAGTGGGTTTGGAGGCAGTAGTGATTTTCAGTAGGGTGGTCAGAGCAGGCCTCACTGGGGAGGTGTTACAGAGCCAGGGCTGCAGGAGGTTAGGACGTGAGCTCCATGGTTGTATATGGGGAGGGTTTTTCAGGCCAAGAGCCTGTCAAAAGCACACTGGGCACATGAAATGATCCATGAGGCTGGGCAGAGTGACAGCTGAGGTCAGAGGTCACTGGGGCCACATCTCTTAGGATGTTGGAGTGATTTGACCTGTTATGAGTGAGGTGTTGCACCTCTGGAAGATTTAAGCAAAAGAGTTACACCTGATTTAGGTTCTAAAGCACCACTTTGGCTGCTTAACAGAGTTGTCTTTCTAAAGTGCAAATCTAACCGTACTTCACCGCCTAAAACCCTTTAATAAGTCCCATCAGCTACAAAATAATATCTAAATTCTCTTTAATGGCATGGCCTACAAGGCCTGCATGACTTGTCCTCTTGAGGCCCTCTCATCTACCTGTCTCCCATTCCCTCCAACCTCATTTTCATTGGCTCTTTGGTGAACCGCTTGTTCTTAGTTCCCTGCAAGTACAGTGCTCTTTCACAAAATGCCTTTATCCACAGTGGTAAATTTCTACTCAAGCTTCAGTGTTCAACTGGCATTGTCATCTCCCCTTTGAATTCTTCCCTAACGCAATAGACGAATCCTCCTCTACTGTCCGGCTAGTCCTAGTTCCACAGAGGCATCCATCCTCTTGCAGTTCCTCCTTTACCTCCCTTCTGCCCTCTACAGGCAGCACTGTCTGACCCTGGTGTCTTCAGGCCCTGGCACAGGTGACTCATGCCCTTTGGTTGAATGAATGGTAAACTCCCAGAAACTGTCTCATCCCTTCTGGGGGCCACTGCTAAGAGAGCCTACAGTCTCTGCATGACGTCTTTACTATTCTTCCTCTGAGATGCTTTTATCTCTCAGCAGCTAAGTTTCTAGAACATTTGTTGGAGCAACTAACAATGAACATCCGTGCTACTGGAGTTTTAAATTTATAAGCCCTTTAAAGAACATTTTAGTGGATATCTATCATTTTAATGGATATAGATGTATCATGCTATGTTGAAGTAACAAATTGACTTATTTGATAGCAACACTGTTTTCAGACATGTTTGACTTCATTGCATACAGGTTTTCTTCAATGTTTGACCTGGATAAATATGGTGATGTGTGTGTGTATGTACATAGATTCAAAGGAGCCATGCACTTTGTATTTTTTCCATACAGACCACAGATAGAACGTACATACAGAAGGAAGATGATTGCAATGAGACTCAGTGCCACTTGAGTATCCCAGTGTCCCCACTGAATTCTAAGTACTGTATTTCAGCAGAAGGAGTCTCAGATATATGGGCTGTCACAACTGAAAAGTCCAAAGAAATCTGTGTTACCATCATTGATGAAAACAGAATAGAAGGTAAGTTCTTGCCATTTTTTTCCTAAATATAGGGAGTGATAACTAAAAGTAATGTGAAAAGAGGCAATTTCAGTAAATCTCTGCTCTTGCAAAAACATTTCAAAGGTGATTCCATTCTTCAGAGAAGTTCAAAATTAGAACTAAATCGATTTCAGGCATGAAAGATATAAAACAACCAATTTGGAAAGCCATGCAATGATTTTTGACCTGGGAAGGAAAAATATATAACAAACAGATAAAACTCAGTGCATAAGTGTCTGTTTCATGATTATGCAGAATAATATGTCAGTTTATTACTTCAGCATTGCAAGATGTTATATGTCCATTAACATGTTCTTTATGGGGATGATAAGTTTAAAACTGAATAGCAGGAATATTCATTAACATGTGTGACCTGTGAACCAGGCAAGCACTAGAAATTACTATCCAAAAAGAAATATAGATAGGCTTAAATCATGTGTTATGTGTCATTTTTATAACATTTAAAAATAATTATTTAATCAACTTTTCTTCGGGAGGTGGGAGACATATAATAGAACTTTGGAACTTCAGTTCTCAAGTGCAAGTACTTTAACAAAAATTTGGGCCTTTCCTTGCAGTTATGAAATTGAAATGCTCTTTATAGATAATTTATAAAATGTAAAAAGCCAGAAGAAAACAGAATTATCTGTAATTCTATCCTCCAAAGAAATACTCTAAATAATGTTACAGTTTGGTGTTTTTTTTTTCCTATACTCTTTCTCCCTTTTTCTACATATCTATAATTATATTATATAGTATATATAATTTATAATTTTATGTACTGCTTTAAACACATATTACAACTTTTTTCCATTTTATTTCATATACTTTATTAATATAATTTTTAATGTCTATAGACTATTTTATCATATAGATTGCATTCTATTTAATGTTCCCCAAGTTTTAGACTTTTAGATTATTTAATGGTTACTGCTTTAAACACATATTACAACTTTTTTCCATTTTATTTCATATACTTTATTAATATAATTTTTAATGTCTATAGACTATTTTATCATATAGATTGCATTCTATTTAATGTTCCCCAAGTTTTAGACTTTTAGATTATTTAATGGGTTTTCTTTACAATAAATCATGCTTTGGTGACTGTCTGTGTATCTGTATATTTTCCGATAGTTAGGATGTTTTTAGAATATACTTACTAATTTAAAAAATGTAAAAATATTTTATGATACAGTGTCATTTGGAAGAATGGAAATCTAGGCTGAATCAGACTTAACACTTAAAATTTAATACTAGTATCTTTTAGGCCATTATGTGAGGGTTTTAAATAAGTGACTTAAAATAGTGCATTGTATTTTATGCCAACTTGCATTATGCTATTTTGAAAAATAAAATCCAAATTAATGCACAAAATTAATGTCCAGATTAATTTTTTTGAAAAACAAGAGCCTGATCTATAAAGTGGGCTGATATTGTGGCCACGTGGTGGCACCACAGGGGCTCATAAGCACATTCCCTGCCTGTCGTTCTGGTGCTTCTGAACACAGTACTAGCATTAGTTATTTAGTTATTTTATTTTTTACTGTTGTAATAATTTAATTTCTTCACATACTGTAACAGGTGTAGTAACTTCCAGAGTTACTATTCCAAAAAAATTTACGTTGGAGTAGATATTAAAGGTAATAAAATACCAGGAAAGAGGCTAAATGCCACCACAGTATGTGGAATAGTGTTAATTTGGAAAAGAGGACTATGAAAAAAATATTGACAAGCAAGGTTGTAAAAATACAAAGCAGCATTAGAACAAAACAAATAATGGTGATTTTAGATATATGTGCTCTAAAACAAATCTTTCCTGTTTTATATTATTCTTTTATATCTGGTTTGCATTCAAGGGGACTACATTCTTTTGCAATGTATGTATATGTGTTTGGACATCTGTGTATCTTTCTAAGTATTTGCAATCTTGAAATACATCTAATAATTAGGAGTAGGACTCAACTGTTTTAGGAGTTACAGGTATTGCCAGAATTTATTTCTAAAGAGATGTATTTTAAATTTTTTCTTTTGCCTTTTTAATAGAGAAAAGTGTTATCTATAGAAGCATCTTATATTTGGGGCTTTAAAAAAATTGTTAAGGAAAAGCAATTTTAGTCTTATGTCATGGCAATATAGCTACAGAAAGCTTAGCATTATAGAGCTTGGAAGAATCATATTGAGAGTGAGGATAGGTGCCTAAGTTTTACTCATCTCACCTGACTTCCGTGTCAGTGTTCTTTAAAATTCTGACCATGTTAATTGCCTCAAATTAATAATATAATTAAATAATTATAATTAAAGATTAATACCAAAACTTTATAACTATTTGATGGATATAGCAATAGTCCATGTTCCATGTTAATTCTAATTTCTGATTTTTTTCTCTTTTCTTAGATTCTATTTGGATTCCAGTTGTTGCTGCTCTGGTACTCTTTCTAGTACTTACCCTGCCATTTGTATATTGTCTCATTAAGAAGATCAATCCATTTAGTAGAGGAAGCATCATGTTACCCAAGTCCTTGGTAACATTTAAATATTTTCCTTTAATAATATACGTTAAAATTTTCCTTTGAACCTTTTGGTAGCTTCTTACACACCTTTTTAAAGTAGAATGATGTTCAGTAGCACATCACCTCTCATAAATCATTCAATCCACCACACATCCAAAACCACATAAATTTTTGCTTTACACCAGGTACGTTTTTTATGCGCAGAGCAAAAGCACAGTTAGATAAGTCTGTTATGGAACTTAAAAGTCTAGAGAGAGAAAAATCCAAATATTCAGTGCATGAAAACCGTGTGATAGGCTCACAGATAGGCAACAAGGACTTGGTCCACTTTTGGTGGGGTGCGGTTAGTTGTGGCTTTTCCAGAGATGGTGATGCCTGAGCACTTTTAAGGGACAGAGAGGCATTTAATCCAAGTTCTAAAGGACATAACATGTTAAGAAAGCATAGCTTCTAAAAATCTCTGCACACAGAAACATTTCATTACAGTTGGAGTATAGAAGGAAAGGTGGCCAAAAGGAGGCTAAACTAGAAGTTTGACATCTTAATTGTCTAACATTTCATTGTATCATTGAAAGAATTTTAAAGGTAACAGAATGGTAACTGTTTGAAACAAATGTGACAGGAATAATGACTGTGACATGCAAAGGGCACATTTAAATGTGTTAGGAAAACACTCCTTTTAAGAAAAGTGAACAAGCACTGTGAGCAATCAGTAGAGCATTCATGTATGAATAACTATTATCCTTACCAGTAATTAAGTACAAAGCAACCTTGCAGAATGCCATTTACACCCACCAGAGAAGGAAAATTAAACCTGAATATCCAGTAGTACCCGTAGCAGTAATAAAACTGGTCGGTACTCATAGAAGTAATGCAGCCTTGCCAGGAAGATGAGCATACAGTAGGTACAGAGTGTTGTAATGCCATAAGCATGCCATACCCTTTGACTTTGTAACTCCAGTCTTAAGAATTTATTCTAAGAAAATAATTTCATAAGTAAGACATGAGAGAATACTCACTTCAGCCTGTTCTGTAAATGGGAAAAATTGGAAACACTTTAGCATCTCCTATTAAAGGAATTATTTAATTGGTATAAAGAAGTTATATGAGCCAATGAAAATTATAATAAAAAATAAAAAGGCAAATGGTGAAACTGTTACATAAACAAGTGCACTCCCATTACAAATGTAGCTAATGTGCATACATGTGGAAGGTCATGCCAAAAAGCATATATTGGTGAGATAGGGTCTGACTTAAAAAATCCTAAAAACTTATTTTTAATCTTAGTACAGTATATTTCATTAACAAGAAAAGGTAACCACTAGATGCTATTATACTGTTACCCTAAATATGCTATGTAGTGGTATACTTAGTTGTCCATGTACTTAAGACTTTTTTTTGAGGATAGGCACTTAAGTTTAATATATTATTTTTAATTATTGATTTCTTTTCCCTTAGCTATCTGTGGTAAAAAATGCCTCATCAGAGACAAAATCTGAATCAAAATACATATCACCCATTACCTACCAACCAATTGTCCCAGAAAATGAGAAGGTGATCTGGGAAGAGCAGTTGTCTGCCGCAACAATTTCAGGTGTGCACACTGAGGACAATCCAGGAGAAGGAGAACACACAGAAGAACTTTCTAGTGAGACAGAAGTGGTGACCACTGAAGAAAATACCTCAGACATGTCAGCCTCTGGGAGCCCTCTGCCCCCAGAAATGAGAGAGGATTGTACCCATTCCAGTAGCGACCAGTCTGAGCCCTGCAGCACTGCTGTAAATGCGTATCACTCCAGAAATGGTTCTGATAGTGGCCTTGTGGAATCGGACAGCTTCTTATCTGACTCAGAAGTTTCCTCAAGTAATAAAACTGAAATAAAGACAGAAGGCCAAGAGTCCATAACACTGAGAAACACTACCACCTCCTTTGGTTATGATAAACCGCATGTTTTAGTGGATCTGCTGGTGGATGAAGGTGTTAAAGATACCTTGATTGGCTACAGACCTACAGCAGATTCCAAAGAGTTTTCATAAGACCATCCCAGGACAGAGCAGCTTACCCATGCAAGCAGTAGCCAGTCTGAGCCCTGCAGCATCGCTTTAAATGTGTAGCCCTGCAGCCCTGCAGCCCTGCAGCAATCAGGATGCACCAACTTTGAAGGATCTGATTTTCCTGAACAGTTTCTCTGCTTTGGTATCATGAAAAGGGGATGGTGCCTAGAGACTGTAGCTTTGTTGATGTTACCCAAATAGAGCATCTTGATCTAGATAAAAATGTAAAGATCCTATTTGGGACTGTCTCATTTGGTATGAAGACTGCAAAGACTTAAAAAACACACAAAACAACTATTGTCACATATGACCCTTTCCATCTGGGTGGGTTAGCAGTAACAGTGAACATGCTCTAATAACTGCTTCTTGTGATAGAGGTAACAGAGGTGACACCCCAAGGCTCCTTCTGACCATTTCAAGACATATAAGGTGCATTTTCTGTCTCAGTATTTGTTTTTGGAAGATGGTATATAGACTATATATATACTATTTTTTTATTGAAATATAGTTTATAGTATCCTGGTTTCAGATGAACACCTTAGTACCTCGTCAGTATTCTACACTATCAAATGAACACCATGATAGGTATAGTTACATCTGTCACCGTACAAAGATACAATGTTATGAGCTATATTCTCCCTGCTATATTTCCATTCCCTGTGACAAAATTGTTTTATAATTTGAAGTTTGTAGTGTGTACAATTTTTAAACAGTTACTTTCAGAAGAAATTCTGGAAGCTTTTCAAAATTGCATTTAAAATCTATTCATAAATAGAGTTCATGAAGAACATGTAAATAGAAGTGTATATAATCTATATGGAACATTATGTTCAAAGATCTGTAAATAAAGTTTTTTAAAATTCATTTTTTGTATTTATTCAAGCATATAAGCAGTTAGTTAACTAGAATATTTTACTTGTTTCCATGAATTAATGCTATAGAATTATTTTCTCATTATTCATATCTATAAAATAGTCTTAAAAATTATCTAATCTTTAAAAATGGTCCTTTCATGTCTATATTTTAATATTTAGCACCCAGTGTGTAGAATACTGGTCTAAGTTGTTTGGGGAAAAAAGCAGATTTATCTGTAGAATATAACAACTAAGGAGTCTTCTGGCATAAAGATGGTGAAAACCATGAGTGTGGGTAAGGGAGCCCTGAGAAGCATGTAAAGAGAAAGTTCCAGCAAGAAGCCAAGAGCTAATATCCATACTACAGAAGGAGTTCGGAATTACTAAGAGGCTTGGAATTTTAAGATACATGAATTAATTGATGAAAGATGATTTTCAGTCAACTACATGAGTAAATTAACCATAGAAATAAGCCATGGAAGAATAACTCCTCATTTAAAAGTGCAAACTAAAATGAGATGTTCTTTTATTAGTGAGCAGAAAATAGTGAAATAAGACAATGTCTTGGAAATTGCTTTTTTAACTGATACAGGAGTATATACACATTCCATAAAAACACATATTCTTTACTTAATTTAAGCTCTTGTGGGAAAATTGTAAGACATCCATATAAAAAATCCACAAGACAAATGAAAAGTGTACTCAATTAGGATGGAAAAATATGAAAGTAATTGAAATAGCCATGTTGCTGCTCTCCAAAATTCTAATAATAGTTATTACTGCCAAGTATGTTTTTTAGCCTAGCTAATTCTGATACAAGGCTTTTTAATTTCCATCAGTTCTACAGGTAAACCATTTTTATTTTCATTTGTATTTCATTAGTAATCAGTAAAATTGATCTTACTTAATATATTAGGTATTTATACTTATGACCTGACTAATTTTGTCCTCTATTTCCTGCTGGGCTGTTGATGTGCTTTTTTACAGATTTGTCTGCCATGAGTTATACATTTATTGTATAATTTCTTGCCATTTGACTAAGTCTCTCAGCACAGATGTTTAAAATGCTTTTGAAGTCAGATTTATTCATCTTTTCCTTTTAATCTTAAAAAACCCTTTCCCAAGAAGATAGAAATTTTCACCCATGTTTTCTTATTTGTTTGGGTGTCATTGTTTATTTCATTTCTACACTGAATTCTTCTATCCATCTAGATTTTTTTTTTCATATAAGAAGTAAGATAGGGATCCACCTTTACTATTTTGGTTTCTAGGGCTGCCATAATAAGTGACTACAAACTTGGGTGGTATAAAACAGCAGAAGTGTACTCCCCCACAGTTAAGAGGCAGGGCCAGATCTCTCTGAAGGCTCTAGGAGAGGAGCCCTCTTTGTCTCTTCCTAGCTTTTGGGAGTTCCTGACCATTCTTGGAATTCCTTGACTCATAGCTGCATCATTTCCAATCTCTGCTTCTCTTGTCACGTGGCATTCTTCTCTGTGTATCTCTTGTGTCCAAATCTATAAAGACAGTAGTCATAGGATTCAGCCCACTCTAATTCACTATGACCTCATCTTAATTTGATTAGATCAGCAAGGACACTATTTGCAAACAAGATAACATTTGTAAGTACCAGGGGTTAGGATTTCAACATATCTTTTGGGAAACACAATTCAATTTTTATTTCCCCCCGATAAATTAGTCAGTTGTCCTAATACTAGTAAATCATCCAACTTTTCTGCACAGATTTCAAATGTCATATTTATCATAGGCCAAATTCTCAGTACTCCTAAGATTTGTTTTGTGGTTCTGTCTTTTCCTGTATCCATATTGCACGGTTTTAGTTATTATAGCTTTATATGGGAATATATTTTAACTTTAGAGACTCTCCTTAATACTTGAGTTCAGTGTTGATTGTACATACTCCTTATCAAATGATTGTTCTTACAGGTGAACTGTGGAAATTTTTGCCATTTTCCCAAAAATGTCAGTCATTTGGGGAGCTGTAATAAGCATTATCTTTTGCCTTTGTACAATGTTAAGGAATAACCAGCACTTTCTAAAGTTGAATGTTGCCCTTTCTCAGAGGGTGTAGCCAGAGCATAATAGGGGATCTAGTTGAGACTGGGGATCAGATCAGCCTCTTAAGGAAGTGCCAATCAAGGAAGTGCCAATCAAGCATAAACTGTGTGGCAAGAGCAAGGAGAGTGAGAGAGTGAGTTGGGAAGAAAATTCCAAATCTAATTGACAATGAATGTAGGGTCCTGTGCTGCAGAATTTATTTTTCCTATTTTAATGTACATCAGGATATTATTTTTAATTCAGAGTCTTTCTTGCATTTCAAACTGTCCTCTTATCCTTATAGCTTAGCAGTGCCATCAGAGTCAGGACTCCCCCAAAAGTGCTGTCCTTTAAAGGCAAAAGATAAATGGCTTTGTTTGGCACTGATTCACACAAGGAGCAGCCAAAACAAGGTGTTAGAGCTGCCACAGCTATGTTCCCATCTCAACTACCTCGATATTGACATTTTTTTATTTTTTACTCTTCAGATTTTCTAAGCTTAAAGCCTTCATGTGGCTGCTGCTTCCTTCAGAATGCATCCAAAGTCCTTCCCATTGCATCAGATGCCTTTGGCTCAGACGCCTGAGGGCTCCTGCGCTCATGGCCAATCTCCTGCCCCTTGCTACCTCCCCTGCAGCCACAGGGCCCCTCTCTCTCTCCCATCTGGCCTTTGTTGTTCCCCTCAGACTGTGCTCCCCCGTGGCTGCATGGCTCTCCGCCTCACCTAACTGGGGCCTCATCCCATGTCACCTGGTCAGTGAGGTGGCCTCCCTTCACGCCTACCTGCCACAGTGAGGCCTCCCTTCACTCCTACCTGTACCGCCATCTTCCTAGAGTTTTCTCTGCCCACAGCCTGCATTTGTTTCCATAACACTGATGTCACCTGACAAAATGGCCATGTACCTGTTACTTCTGTTAACCCCCAACTATGCTACAGTGTCAGCTCTATGTGAACAAGGACTTGTCTAATCCACTGTAATATTTCCAGAATTTAGGACTGCCTGAAACAAAGCAAGTGCTCAATACATATTTGTTGACTAAATGAATTGTCAACACAACCACTTCTATTTGTCTTATCATGTCTGTGTCAGTTTTACTCCTTTTGCAGCAGTTTGTATGTGTGTGTATGCATGCATGTGCATGTGTACAGAGGGAGAGAATATGTTGGTTTCTGATATTTCTGAACATTTGAAAACTTGTGCAGAATTGCAGAAATTCCTGCAAGCCAGAACTAAGTCAGCAAAATATATGGAATAAATGGAGTAAAGGTGTGAGATTATAGTCAGATGATAAAGGCTGGACAAGCTGTAAAAAAAATCCAAATCCTTCTCATTTTTTATGAGCACTAACCTCCACGTCTTACAGAAGCTTGCCAAATTTAGTGAGCTCATTTTACCTCAACAATTCTACCTGTGTTATGCCATCAATAGAGCTGATCAACTCCATCATTTATGTTGTTTCCAGGTAGGGCTAGCATGGAACTCAATTCTCCTGGCCTGTGGCAATCCTCTCTTTACATACAGCGGGATTCTGGCTTGAATGTTGGGGAAACATGGCAGCTATCACAACTCACCAGGCCCGGACGGAAGACTGATGTTTATAAAGCGCCTGCTACAGGCAGACGGTCGGCAAATTTCTCTTATGGACCCTCCTAGATTCCTGGTGAGGCAGGCATTATGTTTTTTTCTAAGTGAGGACATTGGGGCACAAGAAAGTTAGATGTTGTTGTTTTAGGTTAACTGGAAACCAAAGAGGTATATCTTGGGAATACAACATAGACAGAACTCAGAATGCAAATAAAACATGAAGGATGGGCTGGGGCCTTGTGTTGCTGGAAGGCCGGGTGGGGTGCCACAGGGTCTGGGAAACGTGGCTCAGAGGCTTTGATCTTGTCAAGGACCCTCTGCTGGAGCCTGTGTTTGGCTGAAGAAAGAACATGGGCTGGCTGGGGAGAAGCTAGGCACTCTCTGCAGGTAAAGTAGAGCCTCTAGTTTGGGGAATAAGGTTTTCTTTTTAATTGACATATAATTGACATAGAACATTATGTTAGTTTCACACATAAAATACAATGATTTGATATTTTATAATTACGAAATGCTCACCACAGTGCCTAGTTAACATCTGTCACCATACAATTACAATTTTTTTTCTTGTGATGAAAAGGTTTAAGATCTACATTCTTTCTTAGCATCTTTCAAATACACAGTACAATAATACTAACCCTAGGTGCCATGTTGAACATTACATCCCAGGGCTTATTTATTTTTTAACTGGAAGTTTGTATCTTTTAAATATGGGATGTTTAAATGGGTTCAAGTAAAGAGCCCAGAAATCTCAGAAATCGAATGAACTTAGTGCTCCAGGGTTGTGAGCATTCTTATGCCCCGGTTAGAAATGGCATCCTATGGGACCTCATTGCAAGTGGAATGAGAAATGTATTTTGAGGAATTTGAACTCATATATCACCTACCTTCAAAAACGAGCCTTTTCCCACTGTAGTCTGATGTCACCAGGCGTCCTGGATTAAAAAAACCCTTCCTCTTGGTCTTGGAACGTATGTCACACTTTAACTTTGGCAATCCAGCAGCCATGTCCAGAAACAGCCTTAGGTGAGGCTGGAAATACACTCTAATAAGTTAGAAATGGAGGTTACCCATAATGCTACAGAAAATAAGACAAAAAGTTGTTACTTTAAAATGAAAAGGCTATTATCCTTTCTCTGAGTTTTATGAGGATTTTAAAATTTTATTTAGAAGTTCAGTGTACATCTTGCCAGGCTGATACTACATCTAAGCAATTTTCTGACCAAATTTTACCTTTGTTCATGAATAATAAGTTAAGAGTAATTTGTCTCTCTGCCCTTCAACTTCTAAAAAACAAAGCAGTGAAAGAGGGGATTTCCAAATTGCACATGGTTGTGTAAGACAGTATCTGGATTTCTCTGGAAATCATGAAAAACAGCAATGAGAATTAAAATTAAAAAGCTATTTCACTTGGAAATTTTGTTTTAAAACTTGTGGATCAAAAATTGGGAAATTGTTAAAAAAAAATAAGGAAAGTGGTCTACCTCAGAACAAAAGGGGGAGCCTATGGGATACATTTCAGAGTAAATTCCGAGTGTAAATACATGTTTGATGTAAATAAAGGATAAAACAAATGAAATAAACATCTGGCAAGGGGTTCTTACAAAAATAAACAACAAATTAAATGGAAGACAAGGAATTTTGAAACATAAAATGAGATATGAGACATGAAATGTTTTTAAGTAGAATATATAACTAGTTACAAAATCTGGTTCCTTGATAAAAATGTTAAAGATAAATAATTAGCTAACTGAACTTTAAAAAATTAAACAAGAGAGAAAATATCATTACTCAAAACAGGAAATAATAAAAAGGAAACCACAGAAATGGGGAAATGAGTACATGCATCATAAGGGAATAATTAGCATAACTCTACACAAATACATTTAACAGCATGAATGAAATGGACACTCTTCTAAAGAAAGTGTAATTTGTTGAATCTGAACTTTGATAGAAAACTGAAGCAGACTAATTATCATAGGAGAACTGGAATTAGAATATTGCCAAAGAAATGTCATGCCTATGCACCACACTCCCCACCCAGAACAGCACCCAGATGATTTCTCAGGGAAATCTCTCCAACCCGCAGGAAGCACCTAAGACCCAGTTCACAAAGATTACAGCTAAAGAGTGAGCAGTGGTGCCACATGATGTTGCAAAGGCCAGCAGTGCCTCTGCGTGTCTGACTGAACCATAGGAATCAAGACAGAATCTCAGCCCTCTTCTCTTAGGACTCCCACCCTAAATCATAAAAAGCAGAGAAACAACTTCCTGTTCCTTTAGCCTAAGTCTTGTAAATTCAGGCCAGCGGCTAATATCACATTCCCTTTCAATGATGCACCAGATGCATTAAGTGCTTACTCTGTGTTCAGCACTGTCTAGAGTAAAGCAGTGAACCAAACATACAACATCCCTGGCCCCATGGAGTTTACATTCTAGTGGGGGAGATAGACAGCAAGAACAGAATAAAAGTCTGTCAAATGACAGTAAGTGTTATGTAAAAAAATAAGGAAGATAAAGGGGATAAGGACAGCTGGTGGGAAGTGTTGGGTGGTCATGGAGGAATTTACTTGTAATATCTGAGCAGAGACACAAAGAACGAGATGGTGTGAGCCTGGACATCTCAGGGACAGCATTCAGAGGGGATGGTTCATAAAAGGTCCTTGTGTGAGGATGTGCCTGGCATGTTTGAGAAACAGCAAAAAGAGCCATCAGGGCTGGAGCACTGTGGGTTGAGAAAAAAGTTGTAGGAGATGAATTTAGAGGTAATGGGGCCAGATGATACAGTGCCTCAAGGGTAACTATATTTGACTTTCATTCTGAGAGAGATGGGAAGACATTAGAAGGTTCTGAGCAAAACCTTTCATCTGACATTTAGAAGGAACCCTCCACCTGATGCAGACGACAGAGGCAGAGGCAGGAAGAATGGAAAGGAGGCTAGGGCCATGACCTAGTCAAGAGGCAGTAGGAACCCAACTGGTTCCTGACATTGGAGAGGGTAGCATCTGGTTGGATTCTGGCTATGCCATTACAATCTTTCCAGAGTCAAAACAACATGCAGGCATATGCTAGTGCATGGGGCATAATGGCTGATTATATCTAGTAAGGTTTCCAAGGTTAGTAAAATAACTTGATCAAGAAGAGTCAGAGCAAAATCAATAGAATCTTTTACCCAAAGCAATATAAGTGAAGAGCAAAAAAAAAAAAAAGGTATCTTAAGGAAGGTCTAAGTCTAATGAATGGAGATTCTAAATAATGTATTAGTGCTAACAGGCCAAAAATTAATCAAAACTAAACAATCAGATTGGTCAGTGAGCTTATTGTGTGTGTTTGAACAACGAAGTTCCTTTTTTCGGCACTTGAACACATAAACTATTTTGAAATTCATGCCAATTATTTACAGAATGCAGAACTGCTTAAAGGTCATGGGTATTACTCAGCAGAGTTATTGAGGGTCCGTTGGGTAAGAAAGAACAAATAGTATCCCATTTGTTGGTACTACAAGAATATGGTTCTCTGTAGGTCTGAGGGGAGAAGGGTGGTGTTCAGCTTACAATTCATTACAGAACTTTACAAACATGTCCTGCTGCTTACCAAATCACAGACTGAGGAAAAGAACCTGGGGCAGAAACCCAGTCCACCTGACCCCTTAAATAAATCCCAATGAAGCAGTTCAGAACTCCAGGTTTTGAACACTTTTCTGAAGGAGAATGAAGAACATGTGGTCCCTCATTACCGAGAGTTGGTAGTGATTCTGGCCCCATGAAGACTGGCTCTGCCTTCTTGTTCATTTCTGTATGCCTAGCACTGTGCCTGGTACACAGTGCATGCTTAATAAACATGTGTTTGAATGACTAAACAATTAAAGAAGCGAAAGGCCAAATCTCCTTTGATATCATGCTATCCTTTTATGGGATGAATATTACAAGTGAAGAATAATACATAGTGGTTTTATTACAGACCTCAGGCCCTTTGGCCACCCAGATCTGATTTCACCCCGCACTTTGTCACTACCTGCTGTAGAGTGTGGCCAGGTACTTTGATCCTCTCGATGTCTCAGTTTCTTCATCCATAATATCAGGATAACAGCACTGACCCTCTGGGCTTGTAAAGATTAACTAAGATAATGTGTGAAAAGAATTTAACACAATCATTAGATCTTATTATGGACAACAAAATATTCAAATTACCAAAAGAACCTTTTGGTAATTTTATGAAGAGGGTATCTTGTAGATTAACTTTTAAAATGTTTTCCCTATTGTTATGAAAAAATTTCAAATATATGCAAAAGTAGAGTATAATGAACCTTTGTGTCCCCAGTACCCAGTTTCAATAAAGACTAGCTCATGATAATTATTACTATATTACCCCCTCTTAACCACTTGGATTATTTTGAAGTAAATCCCAGACATCATGTCATGTTATATGTAATACTTCAATATGTATCTCTAAATAATAGTGATAAAAATAATGACCATAATTACATTTAAAAATAATTAATAGTGATTCCTTAATTAGATGAATCGTTGGTCTGCCAGAAGCCACAAAGAGAAAAGAAGAGGATCAAGTTGGCCCAAGGCAGGGGTTGAGGCCAGTTGTCTCCATACCCACCAGGATGGAAGAATCCACTGTGACTCCCAAGGTGGACTCTTCCCTCTAGGAGGGAAGGGCGTGAGTGTTGGGGTAAAGGTAAGGAATGAGTTTGAAGCCTTTGCTTAAAGCAAAGTAGAGCAAAGACCCCCATTATCTTAATTTTTTTAATTCCCAAAGCAAGTGTCATTTCATGTGAAATAATTCTATACAAATTCTTCTGCTTCCAAACTGGTGGGTTTTTAGAGTTTAATTTTATCTTTTCATCTACCTTGAAGCACTGTTGGTGGAATTGGCTTTTATGAAATCATGGAATCACACAATTAGAAAGCTTATTGGATGGTGACAGGACTCATTTGGTTTCTGAAATTTAACATAGCACAAACACTCACATGTCTCTGAGAGCGTTCAGGTCTTAGTAAATTCCATGCTCTTCTCCCTTGCGCTACAAAGTCAGTAACTAGTGGAAACCCCAATTTCATACTCTGCTGCTCTACTTACTAAACCTTGAATGAAAACATGTTTCTTCTTAACTGGAATTTGGAGCAAGCTGTTTGCATCAAAATAAGAGCTATTCATGTTTAAGTCACTGAACATCAATAGTTCAAACCCAGATTATCATCCTCCATTTAAAAACCTTTGCATAAAAGGTTATGCAAAGTCTAGAGTTCAGTGGATAACATCAGCAGGTAAGTGAAAGATACTACAGAAGAGGCCAAGAAGAAAAGGAGCGCCAAGACCGTGCAAAGAGAACCTAAAATGTGGTGTGTCTGATAATCATTTGAAAGCCAAAATCAGTTCATAAGCAATGGAAACTCCACCTGGAGGAGACAAGGGGTCTGGACTGCGAAGTCTGACACAGTCCAGAGGCTCTGGGAAACCTGGTGTGTCTTCACAGCCCCTCCAGACTGCTCTGGCAGTGTGCGGACTTTCCCTTGAGCAGTAGCTTCAAGAAGGCAGGGCAGTGTCTATTTTATCAGCTGCTGCATTCTTGCTGCAGGTAACAATGCCTAGCACACGACAGGCAGCAAATATTTATTAAATGTTATTCAATGAATGAATGAGGACTGTTCAGCAGCCATCAGTACTACTTACCAAAGAGGCTATTGTACTGAGAACTTGACAGAGACTACACCAAAGGGAAAAGAAGCCAGAGGATATTTCCTTTTATGACCTAAAGAACCTCATTAAAAAAAATCTTTATGACTTTCTTGTGCTTTAATGTATAATTTTAGTGCCTCTAAATACATGTGGTAAAAAATACTGGTTAGGAAAAAAAAATACTGGAAAAATGATATAATGAATCATGGGCAAAGAAGAGATGACCTAGCTTGACAAGATCTCAAAGACGACACAAAAAAAATCTTACGTAGCTCAAAGTGATTCACCCTTTTAAGGACTGTTTAGTTTGATGGCTCAAAATTTTTATCAAATTGCTGGAAACAGAGGGTGGGAATGGGAAAGGAAGAGGTATTAGTTGAGTGGGGCCCAGGGCCACTGTGAACTGGGAAGGCCATTGAGTATGGCAGGGAGCCCTATGGAGAGCCATCCCAGGATATGAAGCATCCCAGCAGCTTCGCTGGGGAGCTTCCAAGAAGCAATGAAAAGGAAGGATTAACCAGAGACCCCACCTGCTTGGACCACTGCCAGGGGCCCTGATAACTGCAATTGCCAAGCACATTACTCAAAATCACCCTATCAACCAAGCCAGGGGGCTGCCTCTCTGCCTCCTGGGCCAAGTTCTCTGCATGAAGGCCTCACGAGCTGTTCCAGTCACTCACCCTGAAGCACCTTGCACGGCAGCTGCCCTGCCCTGCCCTCCAGCCCCCATCCTCAATGCCTTGCCTTTTCACAGCTAATGAAGAGCCGTTCCAACAAAAATGAGCTTCCACATTTACGTGACTCACAGAAGTGTTTTTGAAGTGATTCTTATTAAGCTTTTATAATTCCCCTAGAATAAGAATACATGTCTTCACAAAATGAAATTGAAGTTCTTCCAGGAACCATGGTTAAGCCCAAGAGGGGAGGTTCAGCATGAGGATTCTGCGTTTCCTCTTCCGCTCGGAGCTGCGTCTCACGGAGGGGAACACAGGCTGCCGGACCAGTCACACTTGCGTCTCACGGAGGGGAACACAGGCTGCCGGACCAGTCACACTTGCGTCTCACGGAGGGGAACACAGGCTGCTGGACCAGTCACACTTGCAGCCATGGCACCTGGACGCTGCTTTGTGGCCTTCCTCATTGATTTCTTTCTGATGGGTGGAGTAGGTAAGTGCTTCTTTGCTTTTTAATTGCTCACGGCTTTGTCATCTAAGTCTGCTCACTGTTAGAAATGGCACTGGCGTGTTTCTGGGTTTTGTAAGTTTCACCTTTCTCCTGTCACAAAACAATCAGAGCAGACATGGGTCGGTTTCCATCTGCAGCTTGAATAACCCCATGTGGACTTAACGAGTAGTTACTAAAAAGGAGGCACTCGAGAAACTTCATACAGAACAAATGTACATCCATCCATCTCCTCAGCATTTCCCTTGCCTTCAAGGGACACTATAGCGTAGTGGTTCTGAGCACAGGCTCCAAAGCCAGACTCTTTACTATCTAGGAAATCTTGGGCAATTGACTTATCCCCTTTGTGCCTCAATTTCCTCATCTGTAGAATGGGGAATGTGGGGCAGTGTGAGGATTGAGTGAGGTGATATACACTAAGTGCTTAGAGCAGTGCCTAGCACAGAATAGAGGCCATAAACAACACATGAGAATTTGCTATGGGTATTCACAGAGAAGTGTTCAAATGCAGTCATCAGCTTACCATCCCAACATACTCCTGAGCAAAGTCATTAGAGCCCCATTAACAGAGCAGTACCTCTCAGTGTAAATAGCTCAGGTCACTTTCCCAAGACTATACAGTTGCCCAGTGACTGGTAACATGAAAACAGCTCAAGCCTTCATTTCACAGAAATGTGTGGATTTGAGTAGAATATGCCTTTGGTCCTTGCTAATACCAACACCAATTCCTGCTCATCTAGCAAAATATGTCAGGAATTCAAGTCCTACTAAAGTGATGTTGGCTCTGTATGTCATCAGGTCTATAACCTTGAGCCTCAGCTTCCCCACCTGTACAATGTACTAATAAAAATATCTACCTTCTATGGTGGTTGTGAGAATGAAATAAGATGTGAGGGTTTGAACACAGTCCCCCAGTGTATGTTTAATGCTCATACGTTCAATAATCAATGAATGCAAGCCAGGAGGAGGAGGAGGGAAAGAAGAAGAAAGAATATCCTCAACCTCTAATTGTTTTTCTTCCTCCATTTGCTCCAGGCTTTGCTCTTGGTTTTCTGTGGCAGGTGAGAGGCAGGCTCTGGAGTCAGGCTGTAGGGGGTGCAAAACCAGCTTCACTGTTTGCTGCGGTGCAAGTTCCTGTCCAAGGCTGAGTGTTTCAGTCTGTAAGAGGAAGACTGAAATGGTACCTCTTACACAGAAGGGGGCGGGTAGGTTAAATGAGTTAGTGCAGGTAAAAAGCCCCTCGGGCTCTGGTACAGAGTGACTTGCTATTGCTGTGGATGGTAGTAGCAGCGGTATCATTACGAAAAAGAGAGAAGAGATCTGTAGACAGAAGAGATAAAGGACATCAAGCCACCTATCTTTAGGGCAGTACATTAACTCTAGTCAGGGTCTTTAGGAAATTCAGGAGGAGGAGGAGGGAAAGAAGAAGAAAGAATATCCTCAACCTCTAATTGTTTTTCTTCCTCCATTTGCTCCAGGCTTTGCTCTTGGTTTTCTGTGGCAGGTGAGAGGCAGGCTCTGGAGTCAGGCTGTAGGGGGTGCAAAACCAGCTTCACTGTTTGCTGCGGTGCAAGTTCCTGTCCAAGGCTGAGTGTTTCAGTCTGTAAGAGGAAGACTGAAATGGTACCTCTTACACAGAAGGGGGCGGGTAGGTTAAATGAGTTAGTGCAGGTAAAAAGCCCCTCGGGCTCTGGTACAGAGTGACTTGCTATTGCTGTGGATGGTAGTAGCAGCGGTATCATTACGAAAAAGAGAGAAGAGATCTGTAGACAGAAGAGATAAAGGACATCAAGCCACCTATCTTTAGGGCAGTACATTAACTCTAGTCAGGGTCTTTAGGAAATTGTGTCTATCATCTTCTGAAAACTTCTGGAATATTTACGGACTAAATGTGATTGATCAGGTAGTGATTTTGATGAGCAAAATCAACGGTGGCAATACACTCTTTCCAAGTACGCAGAAATCCAGTGAGAATCTGAGAAATGAGGAAAAGTGCTGGACTAAGGTCCTGGAACCAAAACAGCCTGGGCAAAATTTTGCCTCAGAGTAGCAGTAATATAGTGGCTCCTAGGAAATGAGCAAGTGGCCTTGGGTGGACCCTTCGTATCCATCATTACATGCCATCACCACATGGAGGGGACTACAGACATACTTTTCACTGCTATTTACTCCCTCTGCAGCTTGGAATGGGGTGAGAGGATTTCACTTATGTTTTTATAGTCTGAAACTTTGGCATGCACCAAAATCCTCATATTGAAGATTCAAAATGTAAATTCCGGACTCCACTTCCACCATCTGCACTTACAGCAACTACTTTAGAGATTCCTGATGTAGGTATTCTCTCGAAAATTATTGCTAATAACAATGGCACTTGTATAATATTCAGTGGTTTTCTTTCTCTTATTATTTTAGAAACTCATCCAGTCTATGAGTCTCTGAAGCCTCAAAGAGTATATTTTCAGTCCCGAAATTTTCACAACATTTTGCACTGGCAGCCTGGGAGGGCTTGTGCCAGCAACAACAATATCTATTTTGTGCAGTATAAAATGTAAGTAATTTGAGCTTCCTCCAGCTTCTAGAGGTGGCCACTGGGATAACATGTCCTAGAATGCAAGGAAGTGTTAGAATCTGAGCTTTGTCAGAGGGGTTGAGAGGAAGCTGACGTAGCAGCAGAGGCATCTTGTCTCCTTTGATGCCTAGTGACATAAAATGCATGATGACATGCTATCTGCTGGGGACACTTCATCCCTCAGAGACCCAGTACTGAGGCCTTATGACTCAGCCTTTGGCTTCAGAGCAGGACCTAAGGGCCCATGGTGGGCTCTATGTATTTGTTAGTGAATGTTTGGCAGTGACTTGTTTAGCACATAGTAGGTACTTGATGAAATTGTCACTATTGATAGTGACAAGCTGTGGGACACAAACAGAGGTGAGTAAAATAAGTTTTTAACTTAGAAGTTATTTTTTAGAGTTTTTTTACTATTTAGAAAATTATTTTTAAAAATGAATGGCCTTTGTAAGCCTGAGCACGAACTGGAACATGCAGCTGCATGTTCCTCTCGTGTGATCTTCAGGATAATTCTGGTGGATTGTTGCCAAGACTTGGCTATAATCCAGTCCTTTCCTGGATGGAGGCCCGGGAACAGAAGCTCCTGAATTACAAATGGCAGGTTTCGCACTCATATATTTCCTGTGTTTTTTTGAGGTTCCTCCTTCTCTTACATAGGTTGAGATGCTGGATGAGATTGAGATGAGAGATATTACTGTTCATCTTTCACGGTTTTTTATTTGAAATTCAGAAAATAAAATGCAGCTATGGACCAAAGCAGTCATTTTTATTCCATAAAGTCATCCATGTCTCACTAACATCCATGTCCTAGGTCAGATTTCCCCATTAACCTCTAAATTCAGAAGGACTATCTTCAGAAGTTTCTCAGTCAGTAACTGCTGCTGCTTTTCTCAACACATTTTTTGTGGAAATTGTAAAATTTATAAATCTTTACAATAAAGATTTCTTCATTCCAAAACTAGATTTATAGATGCAAATTTGTATAGTTGAAGATACTCCCAGCGTACGGAAAGTAGGGACTGGTGCTCTTCTGTTGTCTGTGTAATTCCAAAGCAGGCCTATTTGTGTTCCAACACAAAAAGTGAATTAGAAGTTGTTTTACCATGTGTGATTCCCACTTTTCCAACACCAAAAGCAATGGTGTACTTCTTCCCTACGTATATGTATAATAGTAACAGTATTGTGCACAACAGTAATAGTAGTATAACTCCATTCAGGTTCATGGACCCGATTCCAATGTGTGTCAGTATGTGAGAGGGGGCCTTCCCATACATACTTACACCAAGCAATTCTCAAACACCAGCAGGGTGTTGGAGAAGTCAGCTCAGTTCTGATGCTCTCTTCCCAGACACAGAACCAGATTCCCCAGGTTAAGGGCTCTGCCCTTCAAGACTGCCCTCCACTCCCCACTCCCCTTTCCCCCACTCCAGACACTCGGGTACAAGCCCCAGGCAGTTCCCTGTGCTCCTGACCTCTGAGGTACAGATTGGAGGTTCCCACAACCTCCCCCTTAGGTTCGATGAATTTGCTAGAGTGGCTCACAGAACTCAGGAAAACACTTACATTTACCAGTGTAATAAAGGATGCTAGTTAACAGCCAGATATAGAGAGAAACAGGGCAAGGTCCCAAATAAAGGAGCTTCTATCCTCATGGGGCTTGGGGCCTGGCTCAGCGGCATGTGGAGGCGTTCTGGTTCCCCCAGCATAGACGCTGTCCCCAACCAAGGCGCAGGATGCAGCTGAGCAGAGCAGGCAGAGCAGAGAGCAGAGAGAGCAAGAGAAAGCAAGCTCTTCTCACAGGTTTTGTGAGGGCTTCATTGCATAGTCACGATTGACTAAATTACTGACCATTGGCTGATCCAACCTCCAGCCCCTGCCCTTGGGTGAGGGTCCACAAGTCTCTCATTAACATGACAAAACACCCCTTTCACCTTTAACACTCCACAGTGTTTTCAGGAACTGTGGATGAAGACCAAACGTACCTGGGAAATACATATTTGGTTATAGAAAGACCAATTCATAGAATGACCAAATATATATTTCTTATAACTCATTATCTCATACCATGAAACAAATGAAGATTAAATCTCAGGACCCCATGGGAGAATTTCATATTTATAATTCTTTTTCTTAAAGAGGGCACCCAAACTCCCATTGAATTCAGAAAACCTAGATTCACTCCTGTGGTATTTTCAACAGCACAATGAAGTTTTATGTTTTTGAAATCTTTCACTTTGATTCTATCCATTTCACATGAGTATACTGTTAACACTTGTTCCCTTTGGAGTGGGATAAAAAATGAGGCATTGCATTGAAAAGAAGCCAGTCATTACACTAGCTAGATTCAGCTAGTAAATAAATGTCTCATCAGTAAATAACAATTTTAAGAATATCAAATTGGGCTCAGTATGTGTGTTGCTGTTTCTGCTTTAATGGTATATTCTTGTATAATGAAACTGCTGTCATATAGTTTGCAAAGTACAGACACCAGAAATATCCCTCATTATTATGGCTAGAAATTCATAGAGTTCAAGTCCTTTAATAAATGATCTAGAAGACTTTTTCTCCAGCCTCTGAATCCTGCTCTGTTCCCACCATCATCTTACTACTTTGTCTCTGATTTGTCACTGGTAAGGAGGTTAAGTCTTAATCTTTCCTTTTGCTGTTATATAATCTCATTGTCACAGGCTGAGTCAGCCTATCAGCCCCTTTGCTTCACTGCCTTTTTTTAAATGTGTTCCTCTCCTTCTCTCCCAGTTCCTAATCCCAGGATTCCTTATATGTCCCCTTTACCACCACTGCTCAATTTTCAATAAAAAGATTGATCCAATGTGTTGCATAAGCACCACTTGAGATGAAAAGTGGTAGCAGTTTCTCAGAATCAGCCACATTACTCAACAGCAAGCTGATGGGAAGTAAGGAAAACCACAAAGTTGAGACCCCAGAAGCACTGAGGATGTGGGGAGCTAATACTCAAAAATGGAACTTGGTCCACACACCAGAAGAAAAATTTCACCATGTATTAGGAAAAGAAAAAACAAGAAACAAAAAACCTTATACAAGGGGTACAGAAGATGTCAGCCTGGCATTTATCTTTCAGCAAGAGGGCACTTTGGTTAAGAAGAGTACATTTCTTAAAAAGATACTTAAAAATAGCCATAAATGGAAACAGTGGTACTGATATTGGAGGGCAAATTCCAAACAGTCTAAAAAATTAATACACTGAGAAAACAAAAGACTCCTTCAATGGAAAAAAGAAACTCATATCTTTGTCTTTTCCCTTCCATAGGTATGGACAGAGACAATGGAAAAATAAAGAGGACTGTTGGGGTATTCAAGAATTCTTCTGCGATCTTACCAATGAAACTTCAGACATATGGGAACCTTATTACGGGAGGGTGAGAACGACTTCGGCTGGGATCCATTCGGGCTGGACCATGACACGGCGGTTCACTCCCTGGTGGGAAAGTGAGTTGTATGGAATTCCTTTGCATTTGCCCTTCCTGCCCTTGAGAGGTCCTCAAGAAGCAGAGCGAGCTACCAGGCCCTATGCTTTGCTGAAGGTTGCACCATCATCTCATTGGATCTAATTTCAAAACAACTCTAGAAGGTGGCTTTTATGCCCCTTTTACAGCCAGGGAAACCACGCCACAGAGGCACTAGTAGATGCCCAAGTCTTACAGCTGCATAACCTGACTCAGGGTTCAAATTCTTCTGCATCTGACTGCAGAGTCGACACTGTGTCCCACTGCCAGGTTGTTACCTCCCAGGAAAAAAGTAGTGTGAGAAGGCAGGAAAGAAGTCATATTGCCCTAGTCCTTTCTTTTTTTTCTTTTTCTTTTTTTGTATATCAATGATACTTTAATTAAAAAGAAAGGTGGCACTAGAACAAAGTGGTTTCACAGCTGCATTATATCTATATTTAAGCAGATGATTCCAGTAGTGTTTAATTATGCTAGACTTCATAAAAAAATAAGAAATTTCACACTTTCACACTTTCTATAAGTCAATTTTGTTATTACTTATTTGTTAGTTTTAATAGTTTAGAGGTTTATTCAGGCTGCTACTTTTCCTTGATATAGTTGGATAAATTATATTTTTTAAGGGAACTAATTGTTCAGGGTTTCAAAATTAATTGGCACAGAGTCGTTCATATTATCTCATAACTTTTTAAACTGTTAATCCAGGGCTGCCAATACAGTTGCACATATTGTTTACTGCATAAGCTTATCTGAACAAGGAATGAATGAGAGCAGTCTTCACCCAGCTTTCCAAGTAACAAACCCAGGGTGAGGCTGCTACCACCCAGGGGGGTGGGTTTTTTTCTTTTCCTAACTCTCTGTGAGGGCTAGTTGTGGCCTGACTATAACTTACCTGTATTCCCTCTTTTCTTTCCAGGATTGTTGATTTGCCCTCTTTTGTTTAGAGTTTTGCCTTTTCTTTTTTTTTTTTTTTT